GGAGAGGCCTGAAGCGTGACTGTCTGGCGGATGCCGTGCTCCGCACAGAAGGCTGCCAAGAGGTCTGAGGAGAACTCACCACCCCTGTCAGAGTGCAGATGCAGGACATGAAAGTCCGAGTGGAACCGCTCGCGGAGCTGGAGACGAACAGCGCGGATCCAGGGGATCAAAACATCAGGGACCTCCCCCTTGCACTACAAGGGGAAGACCGTGGTGTAACGTGTGTAGTCGTCGACGACCAGCAGGAAGTACCGCTCGTGGCCCTGTCCACGGACGCGGGCTGGGCCCCACACATCCAGGTGGAGAGTCTGCAGGGGAGCCTCTGTGGGAGGGAACGAGGAGGAGTGAGGAGCGGCGCGCTGCCGCCCCTCGACGCAGGGAATGCAGGGCGGCGCATGCGAGGGAGGGAGGGCAGGCAGAGACCTGGGAAGGCCAGAGACCAGGAAGCGAGAGTGCATGCTACGAAGGTGAGGCAGGGAGGGGTGACCAAGGCGGTGGTGCCACATGAGAGTGTCGTGCGACAGCCGGCGACACTCACACTGGGTAGCTACCTGAGCAGACGCGTACAACTAGGGAGACAATGGGGTGGAGCGCGACGCAGTGGTTAGGGTGTACAGACTGGACCCAGGCGCACGTGTGAACGTGGCCAGGTGACGACCGATCCGGGAGCACGTGCAGATCGCCACACGCTGTCCTCCAGGAGTAAAGGTGTCAACCCTGTGATCCTGAAGGACGGAGTTGCTCACCAAGTTCGTAGAGAACGAGGGGAGGTGGAGACCAGACAGCTCACCAGACGGGACCGCCGGACACGGAAGCACAGTGGAAGACCGTGCAAGCACTGGGCCCCCAGAGGGGTCAGCCAGTGAGACAGGAATAGGTGTAGGGAGGGGAGTGACTGTGGTGTTGTCGCGAAAGAAATAGCGGGAAGCACCAGAGTCAAGTGTGAAGGTGTGCAAGGCCTGTGCGGACGCAGTACCAGGGGGAGCAGACTCACAAGCACCTAGTGCCACAGGCGCTATACCTGGGGCTATACCGGGGTCAGGCGGCACACACAAGTAGCAGTCACCCTCAGCACTAACAGTCAATGCATACATGGCAGCAAGAATAGTCTCATAGTCAAGATAAAAAATAGCTACATCACGCCTAAGCAGGTCTGCCCAGTTGGGGAACTTAGGAGCATCAGGAAACTTGACGCGCCAGGCGTCGCTAAGCCGAGCGAAGCAGCGGTACTCAGTGTGAAACTCTGTGCACTGGCGACCAGCGCGGGGACCTGTGCGAATGATATAGGGGCAGCGACCAGGACCCCCAGACGCTCCACGCCCGGCATACCAGTCAAGAAGCTGCTGGGAAGTGGGGGTCTGGCACTGACGGTGCTGCTGCTGCTGCTGCTACTGTCCCTGGCCACCACCGGCGTCACCCAAGCCCCCACCACAGCCGCCACCACCACTCCCCCCTCCGCCACCACCGCCGCTGCCACCGCCACTGTTCCCGGCACCCCCACCGCCCCCACCACTACCTCCACCCCCACGACCACCGCCACTACCTTCATCGCCCCCGCCGCCTCCACCACCGCCCCCTCCACCGCCACGTCCGCCACCCCTGCCACCCTTGCCTCCCTTGAAGCCGCTGCGCTTCCCACTCGGAGCGGAAGCAACTGCGACCTTCTCAGCACCAAGGAGGTCAACAGCAGCAGCTGCGGAGGCGTAGGAGGGGGTAAGAGGGGAGGGGGAGCACCCCTCAAAGAGGGGAGTGCGAGGAGTACCACGAGCAGCACCTACAGCTAGAATGTTCTTCTCGGCTGCTAGGAGGTGCTTCTGGAGGTCGTCGACAGTGAGAGAATGGGGGTCAAGGGCGAGGAAATGGTCCCTGACTGAGCGAAGAGTGTCAGGGAGGCGGGTGATGAGGAAGTAGAGAGTAAAGTACATCGGAGGGTGGTTCTCTGCGAGGAACTCGGCTGGAAGGGCGTCACGAAGGCGAGTATCACTAGCGCGTAGGTGAGAAATTAGGTCCTCAGCGGTGGTAAACAAGGACAGGTCGGGGAACAGGTAGGGTAGCATAAGTCGACCTAGGGCTGCAGTGGCCGGGGAAGAGTTGTGGGCAACTACAGCGTCGTACAGTGCCTTGGCAGTCTTGTACTGGCTAAAATGCGCGCGCTCTGTGATCGGCAGATGGTTGCGAATAGCTAGGCGCGCAGCAGCATCGTGGTTCTGCAACTGGGAGCGGTCTAGAGCAGGCTCAGTGTCAGCAGGAGCAACGGCAGTGCCAGACACGTAATCGAACAGGGAAGTGTCAGAATTTATACATATAACTGCCTGTAGCTGTAGTTAGTGTAGTTATTATAAACTTTGTTAGGTGGTGCACCTTCTTTGTTCACATGCTATATGTTCTTGCAAACCTATAGTGAACTCACCTTTCCCAACTTTCTCGATACCTTCCCTTGGCACAACCACTCGATATCCCCTAGGCCTAGGCTACTAAGCTTAGGCCTACTTAACTCTCAATTACTCTTAGAGCTCGTTATTTTCACATGGTATCAGAGCATGTTTCGTCCTGGCCTGTGGGCCCGCCTTATGATTCCGCTGCTATTTTTCCGGTTGCGCGCCTAGGGCGCGTGGCGATTTTCGTCTTGTCCCGCCCCCGGGTGGCGAGTGACACCTTCTCTGCCCGTCGCGCGCCCCGTGGCACGCGACGGTGCCCTAAACTTGCCCGTCGTGCGCCCCGTGGCACGCGACGGTGCCCTGCTCGTCGTGCGCCCCGAGGCACACGACGGTGCTCTAAACTTGAACTTACCCGTCGTGCGCCCCGTGGCACGCGGCGGTGCTCTCCGCACCTGCACTCCCTGCAGCTGCCCCTGACCTACCTGCGCCGACCCTATTTAGCCGCTCTGCGGCTTTCTTCCCGCCCACCCCGTCCTCCTTCGTCTCCCTGCAGCCGTGGGGGGGAGGGTATGGGGGTGGCGGGTGTTGGAGTGTTGGGTAGAGAGCTTCCCTTCCCCTCCTCCTTTCGTTCCCACTGCTGCAGCTGCCGCTGGGGGGGAGGGTGTGAGGGTGTGGGGGAGCAGGGGGAGTGGCACCGGGGTGGCGGGTGTGAGGCAACCAGCAGCCGTCCCTCCACCTCTCCTCTCTTCCCCCCCCCTCTGCTGCTCCTGCAGCAGTGTGGGGGAGGGGAAGGAGGAGGGTGAGGAGATGGAGTGGGTGACCAGCCAGAGCCAGCCCGCCTCCTCACTCTTCCTCCTTCCCCTCCTGTGGTTGGGGGGGGGAGAGGGTAAGGGGGTGGCAGGAATTTCTTGCTGTCGACCTACTGTACCTGCTCACTTACCGTACCTGCTATTGCTTGTTTATCAGTCTGCTTGTGTACCCCTGCAGGTTGTGTTCTGCACAAACTCCTGCTGCAGGCAGTTATGGGGGAGTGTCAGAATTTATATATATAACTGCCTGTAGCTGTAGTTAGTGTAGTTATTATGAACTTTGTTAGGTGGTGCACCTTCTTTGTTCACATGCTATATGTTCTTGCAAACCCTATAGTGAACTCACCTTTCCCAACTTTCTCGATACCTTCCCTTGGCACAACCACTCGATATCCCCTAGGCCTAGGCTACTAAGCCTAGGCCTACTTAACTCTCAATTACTCTTAGAGCTCGTTATTTTCACAGGAAGCACCGTCCTTGGCATCAGTCAGGAGGAACAGTTGCAGGTCCTCGAGCCAGGTGGCGATCTCTACTGGACGGCCGTCAGGATCGAACGCGAGCACATGAAGCGTCGCCATAGTAGCAGTGCAGGCAAGGCAGCGGAGATGGCGCGCAGGGCAGGCAAACGCGCAATTGGCAGGCAGGCGCTCAAGGCAGGCAGGCGCTCAAGGCAGGCAGGTGCTCAAGGCAGGCAGGCGCTCAAGGCAGGCAGGCGCTCTTAGCAGGCAGGCGCTCAAGGCAAGCAGGCGCTCAAGGCAGATAGGCGCTTTTGGTAGGCAGGCGCTCTAGGCAGGCGCTCAAGGCAGGCGCTCTAGGCAGGCTAAGACAGGCAGGCGCGTGGCTCACGCGCGTCACACGGGCAGGGCACGTGCGGCTGCGGGCTGCGCGCGGCTGCTGGCTGCGCGTGGCAGCGGGCTGCGCGCGGCTGCGAGCTGCGCGCGGCTGCTGGTTGCGCGTGGCAACGGGCTGCGCGCGGCTGCGGGCTGCGTGCGGCGGCGGGCTGCGTGGGCGGGGCCTAAGCGGGCTGCGCGCTGGCGGCCTAAGTGGCGCGCGGGCCTGGCAGCAGGCTGCGCGGGCGGCTGACGCGGCGCGCGGGGCCGAAAACGGGTTGCGTGGGCTGCTTAAGCGGCGCGCGCGGGAAAAAAAAAAGAGGCCGCGCGCGTGCAGCCAAGGCGCGCGCGGGCAGCAGGCAAGGCAGGCAGGCAGGCAAGGCCGTAGGTGAGGTAACGTGGTAACCGGTGGGCCCTAATCGTAGGTCCTAAAGACCTATGTTCTAGATACCATCTTAGAAACTTAGGCATGAGGGAAGTAACTAGAATGTCGAGTGATTTTGGTATAAGGGAGAACCCTAAGGGGTTGTACCCCAAATAGTCTACACCACTACAGCCTACCCAGTATTATAACATACATAGATATGTTTGACACCTTCCCGTTCTATCATAGAACCATGCTTGAACAGGTGCCCAGCACCATGAGTCCCAAGAGGAATGTGATGAATGTGTTTCTATAGTCCATTGTTGACAACTTTTATACAAACAATATTATGCTTTGTTCCACTTCTTTGTAGTGGCCGTGTGCATGGCTGCTCTGAAGCAGAGAATGTTTTATTAATAGAAGCATAAGCATCAATACATGGCATGGCTACCTTTGTCATACCATTATCATCAAACAACAAACACCTCACAACTGGATGCATGGCAGACCTGCACAAACGCGAACCACAAAATTTTGTGTGTCATTTGTTGAAGCAGCTGGGAAGGAGACCGTACAACAATAACAATCGAAGGGCAATCCCCTTGAATATACAAACAGGCTAGGAGTGTACAGGCTTGGAAGGGAAAGGGTGGATGGGAGGATGTGAGAAATTCGAGAGAGTAGGCAAGTGGGTCGGACAAAAAGGGCGGCAGGGTGGAGAGGCAAGAGGATGAAAGAAAGAGTGGGTGGGAGAGTGGTAGGGAGGAGGGAGGCTTGGAGAAAGGGCGGATGGGAGAAAGTGAGGGAGGAAAAAGTGTGGCAGGGTATAAGGGTGGAACGGGGGGAAGGTGGGGGAAAGCGTGAGCGACGGTGGGAGCGTACGCGACATTATGGGGAAGCGTGGGCGACGGTGGGGGGAAGCGTGGGCGACGGTGGGAGGATGAAGGCCAAATGAGAGAAAGGGCGATGAGAGGGAAGGGGGATGAGAGGAAAGGGGGATGAGAGGAAAGGGGGATGAGAGGGAAGGGGGATGAGAGGAAAGGGGGATGAGAGGAAAGGGGGATGAGAGGAAAGGAGGATGAGAGGAAAGGGGGCTGAGTGGAAAGGAGGATGAGAGGAAAGGGGGATGAGAGGAAAGGAGGATGAGAGGAAAGGGGGATGAGAGGAAAGGAGGATGAGAGGAAAGGGGGATGAGAGGAAAGGAGGATGAGAGGAAAGGGGGATGAGAGAAAAGGAGGATGAGAGGAAAGGAGGATGAGAGGAGGTGCGGATGAGATGATGGGCGGATGAGAGGATGGGCTGATGAGAGGGTGGGTGGATGAGAGGATGGGCTGATGAGATGATGGATGGAACGGAGGAGCAGGGTTGGCGTGAGGAAGGGAGTGGGCGAGTGGGAGATGGAAAGGAAAAGGGGGACTGGATCGAGGGAGGATGAGGAGAGGGAGAATGGCAGGAAGGGAGGGCGGGAGGAAGGGAGGGAGAACGGGCAACAGAAAGGGGAAAGAGGGTAGTGAGGCAGAGAGTGTGGGATAGATGGAGGAAGGGAGGAAGAGAGAGGGAGAGGAGGACGACTGTGGGGGCCCCACGGAACGGAGTAAGGGAGGAGGGCAGGAGGTAAGAGTGTGGCAGGGTATAAGGGAGATAGGAGGATCCCTGCACCCTCTCTCCCTAACCCCCGCCTCCCCCGCTCCGCATCCCCTAACCCGCCCCCTGCAGCACTGCACTCCTTGCTGCCCGCCTGCACGCGCTGCCCTGGCTGTGTGCCCAACACTCTGCTCCAAAGCCGCACCACCACTTGCCATGGGTGACGGTGGGGGGAAGCGTGGGCAACGGTGGGGGGAAGCGTGGGCGACGGTGGGGGGAAGCGTGGGCGACGGTGGGAGGAAGCGTGGGCGACGGTGGGGGAAAACGTGGGCGACGGTGGGAGGAAGCGTGGGCGACGCGGAAGGCGAGAGGGCCAAATGTGATGTTTGCGGAAGGGCGTTGCCAGGGCGACCGAGCAACAAAACGTGGGCGCCCCTGTCAGGATAGTGGTGAGTGGTGTGGACACAACAACGGAGAAAGAGGGTAATCGGAGAAGTAAAAGAAGGGTCGGAAGCGTGTGAGATAGGGGCGGATCGGTGTGTAGCGCAACTGCGGTGCTTATCAACGGCGATAAGGTGATACGCCTTCGCGTTGCTGTCATGCCGAAAAGCTATGACCGCAAAGGAAGTCGGGCTCTTGCCAATGGCCATAGGATAGATACGCGTGGAGTTCAAAATGGGCCGTAGGATGATTAGGAATAAATGTGAAAGTGCTGATGGCCTATGCTTAGTGTCTTTTTATTCTGTCTCTTCGCACGATCTAATCGCTTAGCCTGCCATCGGTGCAAGCACAACCTGAATTACGAAAGAAAGCAAACTGTGCACACTTGGAGCGGTTGTTCCTTCAGAACAGTGCAGTTGGGACTCTCGCCAACCACACTTGTTCTGCCCTACGACTCTCTGCTTTTTGGGGCGATGTTTTCTGGTAACCAGCCTGGCTCGAGAAGTCAACTGTGGGTTCGGAAGGCAAACTGTGCACACAGTTTGCCTTCCTCTTTTTGTAATTCAGGTCTTGGGCTTTAAATTTTTGCCATCGTGATTGCCTAGTCACGTCTAGTGACCTAAATTACCTTACGTTAGTTCCAATAGACCGAATCAGTGAGGAATAGCTTCGCGTTCCATATTTCTAACGTCCATCATTGGATCTAAGCGGTAGTCGGTAATAGGGTTATCTTCTCATCTTAATCCTGAAGCCGCGACTTCAGTGTCAGTGGTACCCACAGCTAACAGTCGCGATATCTGTGGTGCTTCGCACGTCTAATATTGTAATCATCAGCAGTATCGGATCTTAATAGTGTGTTGTAAGTTGCGCGAATATTTGACCGGTAGGCAGTAGTTGTGCAGATCTGACATTTTCCCTGTAAGGTAGCGATCTTAGTCTGCGCACGAATTAGTAGCGTCCATGTGCGCACGATTTTTTTGCGCACGCATTAGCAGTGTCTATCTGAGAAGCACGAGCAGCGTCTTTTTGAGAGCGCGTCGTTGGAGTCGACGCGAGGCCCCTTTTCGCGTGGCGAGAGGCGACGCTGGGGAAGCGTGCGGTGGCGCTGAGGCACGTCGTGACAGAAATCTTGTTAGAGGCGACGTGGCGGACCGGCCCCCTTCCCCGTTTCCCCCCCTTTCCCCTCCCCTCACTTCTCCTCACCCCTCCCCCCTCTCCTTTCCCTTATCGCCCGTCCCCCATTTCCCCCCGCTCTCCCGTCATTTCCCCCGTTTCCCCTCATCTCCCCTCGTCTCCCTGCGATTTCCGCCAATCTCCCCGCGCTCACCCCCTCCTACCCCGCACCCACTCCTCATCCCCTCTCCGCTCACCCCCCCCCTCCCCCCCCCCCTCCCCTTTCCCCCCCCCTCCCCCCCTTTTTCCCCCCCCAAACACACAGTCTCGTTCACCTCCCATCCCTCCTCCCCTACCATGCCTCCTCTCCCCCTTCACTCGCTCCTCATCCCTCCCTCCATCCACCCTGCATTCCCCCCTTTCTCCCTGTCCTTCTCGCATCTTTCCCCTCATTTCTCCGCACCCGTTCAACCCATACAACCCTAATCCAACCACCACCAACCCCCCACCCCCCCCCCCTTCCTCCCTTCCCCTCCTCCCCCCTCCCCCCCCCTTTCCTCCCTCCCCCTCCTCCCCCTCCCCCTCCCCCTCGATCAATCTGTCATTCCCTCTCCGCTCACCCCTCATCTTCCCCCACGCACCTCCTCTCACCCCTCATCTTCCCCCACGCACCTCCTCTCACCCCTCATCTTCCCCCACGCACCTCCTCTCACCCCTCATCTCCCCCTCTCCCCCCAACCTCTCCTTGCTCTGTTCACGCCACACTCGCACCTCAATCTTGTCCCAAGTGACCCTTATCTTGGCTGTCCCCATTTCCTGCTTGCCCCCTAACAATGTCAACCACCCCCAGTCTTGTATCATTCCCGCTCCCAACAATGCCCCCTAACACTTCTCTGGTGCCTTACTTGTCCTTGCAGCATGTGGACCTACAAATAATTGCCTCGTCCAACTAGCACGTCGGTGCATGTGACTCGTTGCCTTGAGTCGTGGCCGACACATGGCTGCATGTGATAGGCTGATAGCAGGTGCACCATCCAACAGCATGTTCAACACTTTAGGCTGCTGAGATGGTTTTACTGTACAACACTCCTCTAAGCATGCTTCATCGTATCCATGCTTATTTTGGAAATGTAGGTAGCATTCTGCATGTAGTAAAGAACACCAATATGAAGATAAGACAAGGTAAGGCAACTCTGCTCACTCACTCACTCACCTGGTGTTAATGAACAAAATTTTATAGCCTCATTCAATCATGATGGTAATTTTTGAGAAGAATCTGGGAAGAAACTGCAAGAGAAAGACTTCTGAATCAGCTGTGCAAAGTTTGCTTGCTACGGTACCTGTACATCATGGGTAATATACCGTACCATGGGTACATGCCTGAACATCGTCCTGGTGCCTTCTACAGAGACATATGGTGGGGAATGATACCAATAATGAAAAATCCGAGCAGAATGTACAGGTCAAACAGGTACAAACGCACATTGTACTGACAAGAGTATTAAAGTAACCTAACCTAAACCTGTCGCCGGGATAAATTCACAAAACCATGCCCAAAGGCAGTTGCACAAGCAGCAGCCGCTGGTAAGTCCTCTTCAAGAACCCCACTTCAAGCAGTGATGGGCGTGAAGTTCATGTTCTCCTTGGGAATCTCTGTGAATTCCGACAGAATCGCCCGGAACTCATCGCCACTGAGCGTCTCCTTCTCAACCAGCACCTCCACAATCTTATCAGTCGCCTCGCGGTTGTTCCGAATGTGCGCCAGAGCAACTTCATAGGCCTCGTCTGAAATGGACTTCACAGCGGCGTCAATGTCCTCTGCAAGCTTCTCAGACATGCTGTTGCGCGCCATCATGCGCATGATCACGTCACCGCCCTGACCGGCGGGGTCCATGAGAGCCCATGGGCCAATGTCAGACATGCCAAAAACGGTAACCATCTGTGGGAGAGAGAGGGAGATAGAAGGGGAGAAGAGGTTAGTTCGGTGAACTGAGTGGCCGGGTTTGAGATGCTTCAGAGATGCAACTGAAGACAGAAACAATTGTGGGTGAGGGAGGTGTGGAGGGTAGGAGTTGGCCAAGGAAAAGAGAATCCTCAAGGAATTGAGCAGACAGATTCAGCCGAGTTAAAGGTCTACCATAATCACTTGTGGGAGGGTGAGGGTTGGGAGGGAGGTGGCGAGTCTGGGGCTTCGAAATGTTCCATTTGTTACTTCACATTCCTCACTTCTTTGCTGAGCAATGGCTGCTGTGAGGTTATTGCGGCATACCTGCTTGGCCATGCCAGTGACTTGCTGCAGGTCGCTCGAGGCGCCCGTGGTCACCTCCGCGTCGCCAAACACCACCTCCTCCGCGGCGCGGCCGCCGAGCGCGCCAACGATGCGCGCGAAGATCTGCTGCTTCGAGATGAGCGACGGGTCATCGTTGGGGATGAACCACGTCAGCCCGCGCGCCTGGCCACGTGGCACCAGCGTCACCTTTTGCACGGCGTCGTGGCCGGGAGTAAGGGTTCTGAGGAGATCCAAAACGGGGAGGAGGGAGGGGAGGGGAAGTCGATGAGTTGAAAAGCTTCGAGAGAGCAATGAACAGTGTGCAGGAGAAAATGAGGGCGACAAGAGTGAGGGAGCGGGGGCGTTGAGAGACAGACCCTGGGTAGCGATGGAGGACTGACAGGAAGGTAATTGGGAATTCAAACTCACCCGCAGATGGCGTGGCCGACCTCGTGGATAAGCGACGAGGCTCTTGCTCTTGCCGTCCGTCATCACCGTTCCTTCAAGACCCGCCACGATCCTGTCGATCGCGTCGTCGATCTCCTTGGACGAGATCGCCGTCTTGCCGCGCCGCCCAGTCAGGATCGCCGCCTCGTTCAACAGATTTGCGAGATCCGCGCCGCTGAATCCGGGCGTGCGCGCCGCGACAACATCGAGGTTGACGTCCTCGGCGAATTTCTTGTTGGATGCGTGCACCTTGAGGATCTCCTTCCGTCCCTTGATATCCGGGACATCGACGGACACCTGACGGTCGAATCGGCCGGGACGCAGCAGCGCCGCGTCCAGAATATCCGCGCGATTGGTCGCCGCGATAACGATGACACCCGTGTTGCCCTCGAAGCCGTCCATCTCCGTTAGAAGCTGGTTCAACGTCTGCTCGCGCTCGTCGTTCCCGCCGCCAATTCCGGTACCACGCTGGCGACCGACGGCGTCGATTTCATCAACGAAAACGATGCAAGGAGCGTTCTCCTTGGCCTTCTTGAACAAATCGCGCACGCGCGATGCGCCGACACCGACAAACATCTCCACAAATTCCGACCCGGAGATCGAGAAGAACGGCACGGAGGCCTCACCGGCAATAGCCTTCGCGAGGAGCGTCTTACCCGTACCGGGCGGGCCGACAAGCAGCACAGCCCTTGGGAATCCGCGCTCCGACGGCGGTGAAGCGCTCCGGTCGCTTCAGGAACTCGACGACCTCCATGAAATCCTGCTTCGCCTCGTCGACTCCTGCGACGTCGTTAAAAGTAACGCCCGTGTTCGGCTCCATCTGGAATTTCGCCTTAGACTGCCCGAACGCCATTGGGCCGCCCGGACCGCCCGGGCCCATGCCCTGGGATCGCCGAGAGAGGAGGAAGAGGCCACCGACGAGAAGGAGCGGGAACGCGAGGTTTCCGAGAACGTTCATGAAGACGGCGCCCGAGTCCTCCTGCGGGTTGTGCGCGGCGAAGTCGATGTTCTTTTCGCGGAACTTCGCGAGGAGCTCGCCGGAGAGCCCCGGCAGCTGCACGCGCACGCGCTGGATGCGGTTGCCGAGCTCAGGGCTCACCGCTTCAACAATCGCGATCGTGCCGTTCTCGTACAGGTCGACCTTCTTAACGCGGTCCATGTCGAGGTATTCAAGGAAGCGCGAGTACGACATGCGCGACGACGCGACCGCCTGCTGCTCGCCTTCCGCCATGGCTTTTCCGCCAAGAACCAGCGGCGGGAGGCCGACGGCCGCGGCGCCGACGGCCTTTTTGAGGAAGGAGCGCTTCGACGCGCTGACGGCATCGGGGTTGCTGGCGGCGGTTGCGACGATGCGCGACGCCGGCACGGCGACTACTCTCGCGGATTTGCCGGCGATGGTGATACGTTGGCCCCTGAGATCTGAGCCCAGGAGGGCGGTCTTAGTCGCCGAGACGGGAGCGGAGAGGGCCGCCATGGCTGACAGCTAGGATTGCGCGGCAACGAAGATTGATTGAGCGTGGAAGGACTGGAATGCGCAATCCGAGGCGGAGCAGCAGGGTTACTGATGCTGCGGGAAATGTATATGGACAGGGAAGGAACTCCGAAGGGTTGATAGAAACAAGGGCAGGGGGGAGAATATATGGAGGTAATTGAGGTTGGTAGCACCAGCAAGTCTTCGCCGAAGTGACAGTCAGCACTTCGTGTAACCGGGTAGCTCGCGAACGAAAAAACACTCAGACTCTAAAAACCGGTTTCGGCAAATATATCGAGAATGAGGATTTCACGAGTAAAAATTCTTGACGAGCTGGTTACAGGAATGGTAGAGGTGAAAAATGTATGATCGGTGAACTAATTAATGTATCGCTTGCAGCGGGGTTTTGAAGGGTTCGTTTCGGCGAATCGCGGGTGAATGCTCCTCCCATCAGTCCCTCGAAATTGCCCGACCGGCAACGGTTCACGCATCACGGGGCACCACGTCACGCACCTTGGGAGTTCATGGTGATGAATGTTGACGGTGTGCTGGCTGAGTGACGCGGCGAGTTCTAGACGCCTTGTGCTGGTTCGGGCTAATCCAAGGCGCGAGGTGCAGCGAGGAATCGGAGAACACGAGGCAGCCCATGACCAGCGGCCACATCAGCAAACTGAGACGTGGTGCCCTCATAAGGTAGCCACATGGCATCCTGTTTGGACAGGCAAACCCTAATCTCCGCTAGAGAGCTGAACATTTACAAGAATGGCTGAGCTCTATCTGTCTTCGTTATCATTCCCCACTGCTGACTCCTGAAGGTTGGTGACTCACGTGCATTTATAATGGCAAACAGCAAACTACTAAGCAATTGGAATCACATCACGATTCACAAATATGAAATATGGAACCAGTGCTCTGAGAAACAATTGCATACTGAGAGATGCAGCAGGTAATTTTTGCACGCATAAACAGCAAATCATGAACTCTATAATTTCAACCTCACCTTGAACTGTTCCTTTTCTGTTACAAAAGGAAATACCTACGTTGAACTTGACAGAAACTACAACGAAAACCTACGCTGAAGGTGCAACATCTGCTGACGATCGCTCTTCACCTCCATTCGCCTCCGCATTCCCCTTTTTAACCAACCCCAATCCCCCCACCTCTAATGCTGCAGCTTCAGCTGCCATATCTTCTCCATCCCTCTCACACATCTCCACCAAGAACTTAAGCTTCTCCAGTATACTCTCAATGTCCGGCTGCCTCCACTTATCATCTGCCACGCAATGCCAAGCCACAATCGCCAAGCCTCGTGCGAATCGCTCCGGGTAATGGTCACATAGCCTAGGATCGGTATAATCTGCAGCTTTAATTGTGAGGTCAGAAAAGAGTGCTCGGCACTCTGTGACCAACCGATCCCCCTCGTCCGCCATTCTCCTGCCGGTTACCAGCTCTAGCAGGAGAACGCCAAAGGAGTAGATGTCACTCTTGCGACCCTGGTGACCTGGGGTGGGTGGGGCACGGTGGGAAGCGGTCTCTACAAAATTCACAACGCCACATACCATGCCCAAATCTCGGTTTTCCCCATCTTTGCACACTAACCTTTGCACGAGCAATGACTAGGGTTACGTGAAACAGTGTTTAGGAGGGTAAGCAGTGCTGAACCTTTGCTGTAGGATAGGTGAACAATGTCTCCCCTTCCCCATTGTCTCTACAGCCGCTAGTAGTTCGCTTCCAAACCGTCCCACACGTGCCAACTTGTGCTAGTACATCGAATATACTTCGGTTGTGTTGGGTGTACAGTGGTGCCGAGCTTGCATGAATCTGGCATTTGAACTTGCATCGACGGAGGTTTAGTGGTGTTATAACCGAACAAACTATAGGGACACTTGAATTAGATAAGGTTTTGCTGACGCGTCAGAAAACTGCGTCGCGTCTGAAGGTGCGGTGTCACATTCAGATGTGACAGCGCGGGTGTGGTTTAGTGAGGCGAACAGAAACCCAAAATGCCAAGGGTTTCGATTTCGCCAATTTCGTCAGGTTCCCTCAGAACACAACGCAACGAAATCTTTCCCAAATGTTGAATGATCTCGCCAACCCTTTCTCGATTTTGCCAATCCGCACGTGCGACACAACACCACACTGCCCTGCCACCTTCTAGTGCGTGAGATGCTCCCCTCAACCTTCAAACCCAGTCCACAGATCGAACCTGCTCATTTCACGTCTTACAATCTCGTGCACCGTTTTGTTCACTCAGCTTCCTCCGTCCTCCGGTTGCTCCAACCCACCCGTTTTTGCCCCATATGCGCGTTCTTAATACGTGTGTCTTTCTGTTTTTGCATCCTCCCTCTTACAGGCTAGTGAAAGACTGCTGGGCGGACGGTTTACGCTTTGAAGTTTGACTCGCCGCATGAAGCTCGCGATCAGGCTACCTTGTCACGCCCTATTCCCGATGGTAAATTCATGATCATGTTAGGTGAGCTTTTGATTTACCCAAAAACGCATTGTCTACTACGCCGTTGTGAGTACGTGTTTCTTTGCAGAATACCAGCGCGTGTGACAACGCTCTATACCAGCGACTTCTGTGACTATCGCCACGCGTCTAAAAAGTTTAATCAAAGCTTATATTTTCCCTAAGTTTTATCGCCATCTTATTGCCGAACAAATCACGGTTCTTCGAGGCGTTTCATAAGATACAGTTCCGAGGTGGTCAATGGCATCCATGATCGGTAGGTTCATCTGAGGTTTTTTTGTCGCCCGTTACATAGCGTGCTGGTTCTATGTCGACCTAACTCTGCTGCGCTTTCTGCAGGACCCTCGTCCCGCCAAAAAAAAACCTGGTAGTTACTGTCAGAATATTATTCTTATGTTCTAGCCTGTAGTGGGGTGCTCTATAGCGAGTACAACCCTTCTAGGGTTTGCTATTTGTATCCCCATTTCTGCTAGTTCATTCCTCTTTCTTCTTCTAACTTTTGTCATGCTATCAGAGCAGGTCGATCCCCTTGGATCGATCCTGTGGGTGGGTTTCCACCTCGCTTCCGCTACTACCTTTCCTTCCCGCCGTGCGCCCCGAGGCGCGCGGCGGTTTTCCTTCCCGCCGTGCGCCGCGAGGCGCGCGGCGGTTTTCTGCCCGCCGTGCGCCCCGGGGCGCGCGGCGGTTCTTTGCCCGCTGTGCGCCCCGAGGCGCGCGGCGGGCGTCTGCCCTACCTTCGCGGGCGTCCGCCCTACGTCGCGGCCCCGCCCTGCGTCGCGGCCCCGCCCCTCGAAGCGGCCCTGCCCTACGTCGCGGCCCCGCCCTACGTCGCGGCCCCGCCCAGCGTCGCGGCCCCGCCCCTCGAAGCGGCCCTGCCCTACGTCGTGGCCCCGCCCCGACCGTCGCGGCCCCGCCCTACGTCGCGGCCCCGCCCTGTGTCGCGGCCCTGCCCCTCGAAGCGGCCCTGCCCGACCGTCGCGGCCCCGCCCCTCGTCGCGGCCCCGCCCCTCGTCGCGGCCCCGCCCCTTTTCGCGGCCCCGGCCTCCAACCAGGCCCGTGGTGGGTCCCTTTCACCACCCTGCCTCCCCCCCCCCCCCCCCCCCCCCCCCTCCCCCTGCCATTTCCCGTCGTCCGTCGAGGCGACCTGAGGGGGCCGCTCGCGGCGGGCGTCTGCCCTACCTTCGCGGGCGTCCGCCCTACGTCGCGGCCCCGCCCTGCGTCGCGGCCCCGCCCCTCGAAGCGGCCCTGCCCTACGTCGCGGCCCCGCCCTACGTCGCGGCCCCGCCCTGCGTCGCGGCCCCGCCCCTCGAAGCGGCCCTGCCCTACGTCGCGGCCCCGCCCTACGTCGCGGCCCCGCCCTGCGTCGCGGCCCCGCCCCTCGAAGCGGCCCTGCCCTACGTTGCGGCCACCGCCCTACGTCGCGGCCCCGCCCTAGCGTCGCGGCCCCGCCCCTCGAAGCGGCCCTGCCCTACGTCGCGGCCCCGCCCCGACCGTCGCGGCCCCGCCCCGACCGTCGCGGCCCCGCCCTACGTCGCGGCCCCGCCCTGTGTCGCGGCCCTGCCCCTCGAAGCGGCCCTGCCCGACCGTCGCGGCCCCGCCCCTCGTCGCGGCCCCGCCCCTCGTCGCGGCCCCGCCCCTCGTCGCGGCCCCGCCCCTTGTCGCGGCCCCCGGCCTCCAACCAGGCCCGTGGTGGGCCCATTTCACCACACCGCCTCCACCCCCCCCCCCCCCCCCCCCCCCTCCTCCCCCCCCTCCCCCTGCCATTTCCCGTCGTCCGTCGAGGCGACCTGAGGGGGCCGCTCGCGGCGGGCGTCTGCCCTACCTTCGCGGGCGTCCGCCCTACGTCGCGGCCCCGCCCTGCGTCGCGGCCCCGCCCCTCGAAGCGGCCCTGCCCTACGTCGCGGCCACCGCCCTACGTCGCGGCCCCGCCCTGCGTCGCGGCCCCGCCCCTCGAAGCGGCCCTGCCCTACGTCGCGGCCCCGCCCTACGTCGCGGCCCCGCCCTGCGTCGCGGCCCCGCCCCTCGTCGCGGCCCCGCCCCTCGAAGCGGCCCTGCCCTACGTTGCGGCCCCGCCCTACGTCGCGGCCCCGCCCTGCGTCGCGGCCCCGCCCCTCGAAGCGGCCCTGCCCTACGTCGCGGCCCCCCCGACCGTCGCGGCCCCGCCCCGACCGTCGCGGCCCCCGCCCTACGTCGCGGCCCCGCCCTGTGTCGCGGCCCTGCCCCTCGAAGCGGCCCTGCCCGACCGTCGCGGCCCCGCCCCTCGTCGCGGCCCCGCCCCTCGTCGCGGCCCCGCCCCTTGTCGCGGCCCCGGCCTCCAACCAGGCCCGTGGTGGGCCCATTTCACCACACCGCCTCCACCCCCCCCCCCCCCCCCCCCCTCCTCCCCCCCCTCCCCCTGCCATTTCCCGTCGTCCGTCGAGGCGACCTGAGGGGGCCGCTCGCGGCGGGCGTCTGCCCTACCTTCGCGG